AGTTCTGGTTTTGTTGTTGAGTTACACTGCAAAAATAAAAATAAAACAGCTTTCTGGATAATGGACACAGTAGCTGTTGCATTCCAACTAGGGTAACTCCTGAAGTGTACTGCAACACAACCAGCTACACGTTATACCACAAATTCACCAGCAGATGGAGGAGAAGTTCATCTTTTGGATCGTTACTTGCAGTGAACTTCAAAGGGAATTGAAAGAACACTATGCTGTTCTGGCAAAGTGGCAGGAAAAAGAGATTCTTCCCATTACGATGTGAAATCCCCCTGTGAAGGGGAAAAATGTACTTCAATAAAATGTGTACAAATGTAAACTGTGAGGTCATGCAAACACTTTCAGTTCTAGCTACAACTGTTACGAGGAACAGTAAGGCAATGTTTAATCCCAACAAGGCAAAAAATCTGATCATGTTCCAGTTTCTTATTTGCATAATTCATGCACATATGGGAATAGAATAGGATATTTCAGTTGGAAGGGCTCTACAATGATCATCTAGTCCAACTGCCTGAACGCTTCAGGGCTGATAGAAAGTGAAGCGTGTTATTAAGGGCATTGTCCAACTCTCTGAGTGTGACCATTTAGCCAATTCCTTACCCACTGAGTGGTCCATCCATCAAAACCATGTCTGTCCAGTTTAGAGACAAGGATGTCCTGCGGGACAAAGGTTTGATGAGACTTTGAGCAACCTGGTGTAGTGGAGGGTGTCCCTGCCCATGGCAGGGGGGTTGGAACTAGATGATCTTTGAGGTCCCTTCCACCCCGAACCATTCCATGATTCTATGAATGCTGAAAGCAGATTTCCATCTGCTGGAGCGAAGAGACCCCAGGGCAGCCTTCAAGGAGGAGCAACAGCTGCACAGACCACGCACAACGGCGCCCGCACTCAGGAGCCAGCCAGAGTTTGGCAGGAGACTGGGCTCCGACACAGAAGGTCCATTTTACTGCCACATTCTCGTCATCTGTTCCACGTTGTAATTCACGACGAATACTTTTCATTAATAACTGAGCCGCTCTGTTCCATGTTATAATTCATTCCGATAAAAGATGAATGCTTTCCATTAATAACTCTCGGCGTGTGTTGCGCCCACGCGTAAACCTCCCGGTGGCCCGTAGTGATGAGTGAGTCGAGCACCCCGAATGAAAAATTCCTGCCAGCCTACGCCTCACAGAAAAGGCATCAGCATGACATACTGGAGTTAATCGGTCTCAGAAATAATCGTGATAAAGCACGTATAATAACTCAACCCTTCAAGGCATGGCTGATGCGCAGATTTCGTACTCGAGAGCTATTTCAGCTGCGGGTTCAATTTTTCACCCTCCTCGCACTCCTCTGGAAGTTTTTCCAATGCTGTCACTGTGGAGGCACAGTTAAATGGGTACAGACAGCTCAGAAGGTGACATCATATATTCCTCCTTCTTACATTAAAACATGCAAGGCAGGTAAAAAGTGCTTCTACACCCGTTATAACCACACATGATCCAGGACTGGACCTGAACCACGGACTCCTGCAAAGTCGAGTCCTTGAAAATAATCTTTTGGAAACAAAACCAAACCCCCGTTTCGGCACGCAACCGAACTTCAGAACAGACTGCCCTGTCACTTTTGCCTTGCCAAATTTCACATCCACGATTTTATTCCCACCTGAACAGAAGCGATATCTGAGGAGCCGAGAAAATGACTAATTCTTTGTAAAGAATTTATAGCACATTCATTTACATACCCATCCCTGGAAGTGTTCAAGGCCAGGCTGGATGAGGCTTTGGGCAACCTGGTGTAGTGGAGGGTGTCCCTGCCTGTGGCAGGGGGGTTGGAATGAGATGATCTTTGAGGTCCCTTCCAATCCAAACCATTCCATGATTCTATGATTCTATATCGGAGACCTTTTGATGCTTCTTTACAATTTCAAGAAAAAAAGGCAAAAATTTTCACTAGCAGGTAAATCCAAGGAGGAACCATTAAATTTTGAATGATACTGTTGGATACTCGGAAATCATTTCATTAAAAACACGGCTTTTATTATTTTTGTACTTTAACACTGTACGATTATAGCAGTACATTTACTAAGCAGGTTAACAGGACTCTGGCTAAATACATGTGTCAACTTGCTGCCATTAGTTACCAAACTGCATATACACATCTACGAAAAATCTCGGAAGAAAGTGCTGTATTAACTATTTAGTCTTGGATTTGCCATGAACGTGTTCCGTGAATATCCTCCTACGTACGCTACACAATGGTACATACTGAACTATTTTGCTTCGTGCGTTTTTTTAATTCATTCAAAAGCAAAAGCACGTGGCAATATACCATCCAAAGGAACGCGTAAGAGAAAATCTCCCTTAGAAACAGGGCAACTTCTTTTTTTCCCACTTACCAAGTAGAGCTAAACTCCCAGGAAACACCACCGGGAGTGTCACCGTTCAATTCCTTACGCTCTTGAATTCAGCAGGCCTTAAGAAAGCACAAGGAATAAAAAAATAAGGCCCTGAATTGGAATGATAATATGTTGGGGGGAAAAAGATGGTTTATTTTCAGCCCACAGGCTAACACTTGGTGTCTAACGAGACACGCTAAAATTTAAGTATCATCTACAGAAGTGAAAAAATACAGTAAAAAATTCCTCCTCGTTTCAATGCTTGCAAGGCATCTGATTTGAATCTAATTGAGACTTAAATCTAATGGAGATGTCAGCTGAGGAAATCCACTGGGCTCCAACTGGCTGACTCGATTAGGCAACTGGGTTCTTGGTGCATCAGAAGCCTCTTAAAAGGAAACTTGTCCTCTCCTGTTCCGAAAGGATCAAAGCTCCTGAAAGGCGGAACTGCATTCTCTTTTGGATGGTACATAAACAGCGTTTAAGTAGTACACCTGTGTCGGAACAGAATTATTCGGTACTGAGCAGAGGCACTTGCCTTTGTTGCTTCAATGGTAGCTACTGTGCTTTGGGTTGCTTCACCCTCCTACACGCATCCCATGCCCACGCATCCCATGCCCACTGCTACTAATACACCGCTTCCTGGTCCAAATACACGAAACTTCTCATCTTTCTTCTCCCTCTCCCTGTCTTCCTCTCCTCCCTCCCACCTTTTAAAAGTTCTTTACACAAACTTCATTGTTGCGCAAATAATTCGGTAACGTTTGGATATAAGGTTTCTATGGTCCCGATTCTTTAGGAAATAGGAAGAGAGCTGCTAATAAAAAACGGGTAATAATTTATACAGGACAAACGTAGCTCGAATTGGTGGAACAGCCCAACCAGAGTTTCCCATTCCACCTCACCACCATTTAGGAAAAGTGGATAAAAGGATTAAATCCTCCAAGCGGGTTCAGTCACTAGTTAATCCAGTGCCTCATGCATTGCCGTGCCAAATTCAGCACAAATAAAATCATTTTACTTCTCAGGTTATTAACATGATGTCAACAGCCACACGTCAAAGAATTAGAGGCAATGAAACTTTTCAGCGCTGTCACACTGCAGCTGCTTTATTGCCACCAGTTCTGACACGGGGGTCTAGTGCTGCTCTTTTTGGAGGGAACGGGAAGAATTACACAGCAGGCCTCGGCAGCTTACCTTCCTCGTGAAGGTCTCCGCTGTATCCTACTGTATCACTCTCCTGCCAAGCTACCGAGCGCTTTGTTCCGCGTTGAGAACACCGATGTGTTTGGAAAGATACAGAGATACGTACAAGTGTGCTGGTTGTAGAAATCATGACATGAACGCTCTCAAGAAATAGGACAGAGTAAAAAAATAAATTCCATGCCCTTTTGGATTTCTTGACTCGATGCATTATTAAAAAAAACCAATATAAACCAAAAATAGTTCCTATAGATAAAAAAAAAATAATAAAATCGCCAAAACTCCAATCTAAAGGGGACCAAAAGACTCCACAAATATAATTGTGTATTAGGCAGAGGAACAAATGTTACTACCAGCACAAGTATGGCAGAGACAGGAAATGGGAATTATCTTGTTCCTGTAAGGCAAAACACTATCGCCTACAGCAAGGCACAGGCTATAAACACTTTCACTTAGGTAAAAACAGCACTAAAGAGGCAAAGGCCAACAATGGTCTAGTTTAAGAATATCCATAGGAAATACCAAGATCTGAGATCTACTATAAATAATCCAGCACAGGTAAAAATACATAAATTATAGCATTTTCTTCTCTGCTTTTCCCTCATTTTTATCCTGTAATTATTAAATACAGAATTTTCCTACTTAGTTCTCTGTATAAAAAAATAGCAATACAAAAAATTCCAACGACGGCGTATATTTCCACGCAACCTTTTTTGGGTTTTTGCCACTCCTCCCCTATTTAAAATGGGCTGAAACAGCCCAGCCTTCTTACCACTAAAAACAGAGCAATCTCCCTGAATATTCCACATGGCCGCTTCTGTCTTACCAGAAATCAACTTGCACGAACCTTCTCTTCACATACATCTTCCCCTTTCTCCATCCAGTTCCCATCACTGACCACACAAAGACGATGGGAAGAGCAAACAGTCTTCCTCGGCCCACTGTTCTCTTTAAGAGCACGTTTGCAAGGCCTCGAGCTACCCTTGATGCAACTATGGCAAGTGTCTTTGTGGAGGTTACACAAAACATTTTCTGCACAAAAAGCAGCACAGCCTAGTGAGTATTCCTGCTCCAATAAATGATGAGAAACAGCACGTGAAAATGTATTAGAAACCCTTCAGGAGAAAAGTTTTTCATTCATGCTTCGTTCAGGTACAGGCTACGTGGGCTTGGGTGGCACCTGGCTTCTTTGTTTTGTCCTCGGATAGAAAACCAAAGAAATAATGCTGTGTGAAGTCAGAGGCATCTCCAGAGAAAAGGCGGAACTCTTGCAAACACGATGCAGACAGACCACCCTCCGCTCTCCTTTTGGGAACGGTGAGGTTCAGACGCTGCTGCTGAATAGGCTTTCTCCCTCTCGCAGTGCTTCCCTTCAGCCAAGAGCTCTGAGTCCAGCACGGGAAGGCATCAGATCTTCTTCTGGGATCCGATCATGACCTTCGATACAAAGTTCACAATGGCACTGGCAGGCTGCTCTGGGTCGTGCTCTGCAAACAGGTGGCACACGTTGTCCGTGGCACTGCCTTGCTTCCTGGCCACGAACCCGAACACTCTGCAAGGGCAGCAATCACAGGGCATCAGAGGATAGACAGACAGACAGACATTGCCTCGTTTCGTAAAGCACAACAAAGACTTGTAACGACACTACTCCAGTAGTTACCAGGAGTGTTTTCATCTACGTGTCATGTGTGGGTTGGTTGTTGTTTTGTTTTGTTTTTTTTTTTTTTTTTAAGCTACCAGGTAGAGTGAGACAAGTAAGCTTGTGTTAGTGTTGCTGGACAAGCGGAACCCAAAAGCGAGGAGCAAACAGTTCAGTTTTCATTTCTGAAACTTCTGTCAAATCACAGACCTGCAACCTAAATAAACCATGCCAGCTTTGGCTCCAGGCATCTCACCATCACATCATTAAGCCTTGACTTGCAGAGGTGCAGAAGAAGGAACTAAAGGCTAATTACAGTGGGGAGAGAGACTTTTGTCTCTGAACAGCTGCTTTCCCTCCTACATCCCAGGCAAAGATAACTTAGAACACCAAGAAACTGATGGCTGTAATAACATTCCTAAAACATTCAGTTAAAAGAGACTCAGGCAGGTGTCCACTTACTTTGCAGAAAGGCCATCTTTCATCCATCTGGTTGTCCATTAAGCAAGCGGTTAACAAAAAAAATAAACAAAAAGAATGAAGAAATAAAAATTAAACCTATGTTAGTTTTTTTTGTAGATCAACAATACAATCAAAGTATTAGAAATACCGTTTGTCTTCCTTACTTTCTGTCCTGTGGATCCAAAGCACAGAAAATAACAGTGTTGACTGGATAATGTCGCCGAAAAAAGAGTCTGGATAAGAAGAAATAAAACAAGCTTTAGGAGTAGGTAAGGTGCTTAGAGTTTTAAACAATAAACAGCTCTGAAAAATAAATTATATTTCATCTAAATTTAATAACGATGATATATTCCTTTTGCTATCTCTGAGTGACTTTGAAAGCCACCTGGACTGCTCTAGCCAAATAAAACCATATTTAGTATAGTCATATCAAGTTTTTAAACCAAAAGAAAACTGAGTCTCCAGCTCAGAAAGAGAACTAGAAGTATGAAATATATTTTTTTCTAAAAACTGGCCATTTAGATACTATGTCAGTGGGAAATGCAACTTCTTGGAACTTGCACCTAATTTGATTATATTAAGTTTCAAAATATAAGCACTCCTAGGCGTTATAATTTAAGGTTTTGTCCTCGATGTCCTATAAACGCTTGCAGATCCCATGGAATTAAGAAGCCTAGTGCTTTTTTTTTTTTTTTTAACCTATAATGAATCCCCATTTGTCCCTCCTTCATTATTGTCCGTTTTCAAATCTGAAGACTGCATGGTGGCCTTCATAGCATTCAGTACAAAGCAAATCTAAATTAACTTTTTTATCATGGTGTTTTACAGGCGACACTGGAGATACACGGTGTCCACTTAGGCCAACTCTGTTCAGTGACAGTGGTGAAAAACACCGTTATTTCATTCAATAGGTTGAGCATCAATAGCTGGCAAAGCCATTATCTTCCCTTTTTATAAGGCACAATAACGATGAAAAAAGTACCACGGCAAAGTGACTTTCCAGAGGTAAAAGCTGCCATGTGGAAGTAATGTCCACAGCTTCAAACATTCATTTTCCAGTACTGTGTCAGTACAGTTGACACTGTCGCTGCCATTCTTTAGACAATCCTATTATCCTCTGAGACACAGACTGCAGAACCTGACTAGGAAAATCAAATCAACAGCAGCCAGCGCTTGCTGGCTATTCCCTTCCCATCCCGCTTTTGCTTACTTCCTTTGGTTATCTGTCAACGTGATTCCCTGCGCAGACACCTTGAAATGGACAACGGTTGAGATGGGAGAAGGATCTTGCATCAGCGTCAGGCTCAAGGCTTTCTGTACTGCCTGGTAGCCCGTGAGCGACTCCATCTCCACTGAATTCAGGTACCAAACGTTGCAGGCTGTAATGAAAGAGGAGAAAATACTCTGAGAGGTCACTATCCAGCAGCAAGCAAGCAAACAGGTATTTTCTGAAAGAAACCACACACAATGTAAATTTTCCACCTTTGTAAAGCAAACGTGGAAGACTGGCAGCAAACTATCAAAGTTTAAGACTACAATTTTGGAGGTCACAGGCCTTTTGCTGTCCCTTGGTTTTTACTACCTTTATGTTTAAGCCAATGATTGTATTTATCTATCACACCCAGATCCTGAAATTTAAATAAATACAAGACAGCAGCAGAGAGAGGTCGCTCCCAGGTACTACGACAGCAGAGGCATTCTTGAGGGGAAAGAATGGAGATATTTTGCTTTTAAGAACAATTACAGCAGCCAATAAGAAAATACACATTTTTGCAGCATACGTTCACACATTTTATGCTTTCAAATGGTATTTAAACTATATTCAAAGGAAACCACTTGTTTGCAAGACAAGAACATTTTCACCCCGTAAAGAATTGACGGTTGCTGCAAAGCTCGCTTCTCATTAATTCCACAGTGTTTTGTATGTTTAGCGACTGTAGGGCAAACAAAACAACGTCCACATTGAGCAAAATGACTGACTCACGTATTTTTAGGTCTATCCTTTACCTCAGCGTGCGCTTATTTTTAAAAGCCCCATTCCTCTCCTAGAGATATTAGTAATTCCTGAAGTTATCTCTACAAAAGAGAAGTTCTTGGGTTTCTAAGGCTACCGAGTAGTTTGGTTTTTCACCTGGTCTCTCACCAAATCTGCAGTGAGCACCAGGAAAAGAAGTACTAATATTATATAGCACTATATAATTTTATATAGCAGCCTTCCAGTACTTAAAGGGGGCCTACAGGAAAGCTGGAGAGGGACTTTTTACAAGGATGTGCAGTGATAGGACAAGGGGCAATGGATTTAAACTGAAAGAGGGGAGATTTAGATTAGATATGAGGAAGAAATTTTTCACTCTGAGGGTGGTGAGGCACTGGAACAGGTTGCCCAGAGAAGTTGTGGCTGCCCCATCCCTGGAAGTGTTCAAGGCCAGGTTGGATGAGGCTTTGGGCAACCTGGTGTAGTGGAGGGTGTCCCTGCCCATGGCAGGGGGGTTGGAACTAGATGATCTTTGAGGTCCCTTCCAACCCAAACCATCCTGTGATTCCATGATTCTATATAGTAGTAGTATAGTACTGTATAATACTACATAGTACCACATGGTAGCAGAGCCATATACCATTATATAGTATTTATTATTACTATTATATAGTAGTAATAGAATTATTCACATACTTAAATACTTTGGGACTGTGGTAAAAAGTCGAATTTACACGCAGATTAAGAACATTTCTGAAACTGAAAAGCCCTCTTATTCTACAGCACGAGCAAGAACGATGAAACACATCTGTAGTTTAACACCGGTACCAACAGCCTTTGCGTTTCTGCAAAAATATTTGTGTAGGTACCTAGGACAGAATTTACAGCTCCGGCAGCTGACACGTACACATTATTACCACGCTAACATTTCGTTAACATCTCATTTGCTCAGCAGCTTAGCTTGGCTTGCCAACCTCACTATGAAAGCAAAGATCAAATGACATCTAACAGATTCTCTTTTCATCCGGCTGTTCTGTGACCCGACTCAATCTTTCTCCTGCAACTAGGTAAAACACACGGCTGAACGACCACGCGATCGTACAGTTAATGACTGCAAAAGCCTAAGTTTGATTCCAGCACGACGATCAGCCCAATACCTTCCAGCTCCAGAGCCCGTCAGTGAAAGAAGGGATCCAGAGACTTGATTTATTTGATTTGTAAGTGTAAAAGTTGCGCATTAGCGTGAGTTTCAATAATCTTTGTTTGAATCAATTATTAATCAATTACTAATCAATTACAGAGAGGGATTTAAGACGACAAATGTCAAGTTCAATGAGGCCTTCCTTGCTGAACAGCTCTCTGTCACGTCTATCCAAAACCGTAAATAACATTCCAAATGATAAGCTCTCCTCTTCTCACATCATTACTGTGTGTGTTTGGTAGACATCTAAGGCTCTTCGTTATCCTGGGAGCCTTTCCCACCGCAGGAAGCTTGCCTTGTGTTTCACAGCCACGCTGGTCACCACTTCTGAGACCCAGACCAAGGGTCTCCTTTCCTCTTCTGCCACACGGTTGCACTGATGTCAACAGACTGTGTGTCCAGGTTTTGTTTCTAAACTCAAATAGCCAAGCGTTTTGTCTAGATTGCTCTCAATGTGGTAGCTCCAAAGCAGTCACCAAATACAGGAGATTCCTCTACTTCTGTAGCAAGAAGAGTAATAAATGGAATCTTTTCCAAAAGTGCTGGAAAGTGCAAAAATGTCATCTTAAAAAGGAGATCACAGGAAAGGAAAGGTAATGAGGAAGGCTGAAAGATTTCTCATTGAAGAACATCACGCGTGGTCTGATGGGATCTCAAATGACAGCAATCCCACGGAAACCACGCTCAAGGCTAGAACAAAAGGAAAACACCTGGGTGTCTCGTGCAATGCTGCTGCTCTCGTTTGCCACAGGGGGCATTTTGTGGTCACATCCATGGCACCACCAACAGATACACAACGTGGCCACTTCTGCTGTTAGACTGGGGACGTGCTTTGCTCAAAATGCTTAGTACCTTGGCTGTACTTGTGGAAACGGATGCGAAGAACTGAGATTTATTTGGGGCACAAAATTTTGCTGATGAACAGGAAGGTTAATAAAGAAAGATCTGTTCTAGGGAAAAGCCACTTTTCGACATGGTTTCTAATCTTCAATTGCCACTTTCCAGGAAGCAAAAGATTTCTGGTCAGTTTCTGCATTTAGGCAATGACTGGAAACGCTCATGAGGTTTTTCAGACAGCTATAAAAAATGATCATTCTAGGAAAACACATCTTCATTTTTTTACTGTAAAGAAGGGGGAAAGTAGGGCAGAGAAAAAGTGCATCTGCTTTGACTAAACTGTAGGTGCTCACACAGGTTCAGACACTTGGAAAAGAAGCAATGTACATGTGTCGAGTCTGCACTCGAGTGTCAAACGCCACAACTTGAATGTCTCTGCCTGAAACATGGAAAATCAGTGGGAAATGATGTATCAAGGCAAAAAAAAACCCTCTGAGAATCTCTCCTAGCTGAGGAGAGTTCCCCAAACGATCTATTATGTGACAGCCCCCGTAAGGATTTACCTGACTACTGCCCCAACTGAAGTTAGGAATTATTGCTTTTTCTTTGCAAAGCCTTGCCTGAGCAAGGAGAAACCCAACATTTCTCAAAAGACAACACATGCCCCTTTTGCTGGGTTTTCAAGAGGGCAAGCTCCATAAAAAGTCATTCTCCTTGTTTTTGTTTTTGTTTTTTTTTTTCCCCCTGTGGGCCACGACAACCACCACCAGCACTGGCAGACAGAGTCCAACACGTGCTCGCTCCTGGCACCGCCTCGCCCAGGCTTGCCATTGCCTCCGCC